CGGTGTAATAAAGACAACAAATTATAGAAGTATGTAGAATGCCAATCTCCAAGAACAAGTGTGATTAATAATGAAAGCTCGGAAGGTAATACAGAAGAGAGTTTTCTCAATGTAAAATATCTCTGTTGTCTTGGTCAGAATTCTTTTCTCAAAACTGATTGAATGTAAATTGTATTTTCGAATTCTTTAATTGTGTTTTTGATTTTTCATCAAAATTTAATTAAATAAAAAAATAACATCGGGAAATGGTCGTTGGATATTAATATTTTCGTGAATAAAAATCAGAATATATTAAAAAACATTTATTTTTCAAAACAGATATATTTTTCAAATTTGAATTGTGATAATTGATTATGTTACTAGTATAATCAATTATGACGGAGAAAATCATTTTCCATTTCCGATGCATCATAATTGATTATGATAGTGAAAAATATCATATTACTAATTTTATCACACTTATGCTTTGGAGACTTATGCATAATATTACTTCATCAACTTGTACCTGCATATCCAAGTATTCTAAGACTCTATCTAGTATTTAGGAATTATCTTGGACTTGCTTGAATGTTGAATAAAATTTTTATCAAAATCATATATTAATTTGGACTTACTTAAATATTAAATATTGTTGACTTGAATCATTATCTCTTGAGAATGTAGAAACATATTTCACATTATCATCAATCTCCCCATTGTTACTTTCATATATCACAAATCCCGTAGTTTTATTAAATCATTTTTTAAAATCTAAGTTACCCAACATATTAATCTGTTATTTAAAACAAATAGTTTCGGTTATTTATAAATTTAATTTTCTAAATATAGCTCCTAACGATTTTTTGTTTTTCTTTTATTTAAAACCTAGTAAAAAAACCTACTCGTCGTACCAAACATATTAATAGAAATATTTTTCAAAATCTAGTTTATAGGATGATTTATTCTCTTTTGGTTTCACCACGGTAGACTTGATTATTGAAAAAAATATAATTAAAGTTTTATATTTATAATATTTTAAACTTAATTAGAAAAATATTTACTCTTATAAATAAATCATTTTCACTAATTAACTAGCTAGTAAACTCGATCCTTACATTTTATGAATATATTTCTATACAATATTAGATAATTTAACTGATAAATCTTGCAAAAATATACTGAAATTAGACTTGAGGATATATATTCAAATTTTATGAAAAAAAAAAGGCTAAAAGCGTTGTTGGTAATAGTACTATTTTATATTTTAGTCAAATTGTAAAACATATAATTTTATTTTAAAAATAATAGAATAATAATTTAAGTATTTTTCACATGATGTGTATTATTTAGGAGAATTTTCAGAGTTATCACGATAATTATTTCTACCACATTTTTAGGTATTTAAATAATAAAGTATAAAATTATCTTTAAAAGTATAATAAACCACATTAGTGATTCTCTTACAACAAAATTTGAATTTAAATATGTGTTATTACAGACACCATAATTAATTATAGGTTATTATAATTGGTTATAGATATATTTTTTATGTTCGAATTTTTTATTATTATAATAAAAATAATAAAGAACTAAAAAATAATACTAAATAATGAATAAAAATATTAATAACAAACGATTATTTGTTTTTTCCATTAAACAATTTTTATTTCGCTTATTTATTTCTTCATTTCTTTCCCATCTAACATAATATTATTATTTTTTATTAACGTGGTCAAATAAACTTCCTTTCAATCCGGTCAGAAAGATTAGACCTTGGAAATGACATGATCACTTTAATAAATACAACCGTAATTTGAACCTTCAAACATATCTATAAATTATTTTTTAGTTAGATTCTTAAATAATTTTATTTATTAATGTGGTCAAATAAACTTTTAAGTCAGTCAAGAAAGATTAGAACTTGGAAATGACATCTAACTAATGAATAATTAAAACAGTTAGTTGAACTTTTAAACATATCTATAACTTAATTTTCTAATTAAATTCTCATAATGTAGGATTTTTTTAATTGATGCCTTTGGAGTTTCTAAAAGTAACAATATTTCGTGACAGATTTAAGATGTTAAAAAGAGGTCTATTTTTAAAAAAAAATTTAAGGACTCAAATAAAAAAAATCTGTTAGTGATCTATTTTAAATTTTGCAAATAGTTCATACATCTACAAAGTGATTGAACATAAATATATTATACAAGTAAAATAAGTAGAATGTTTTTATGATAGAATAGTATTAAAATTCAGATTGTTTCGTTTACATTTTCTAATAAAAAATAATAATATTGTTTTTCTAAAATCAAATGCAGCTAGTTAGTATTTATTTCAAATACAAAATTTGAATTATATTTATTTAATTTTTTGTCATCATATTGACCGAATTATTACGTTCATAATACCTTTGAAATAAATAATTCTCATTATTCTTATGATAATAATAAGTATTAAAATAAATATCCTTTTCATCTGTGATATAAGAAAAACTAGAAATATAAGAAAAACTAGAAAAACTAGAAATAATAATAATAATAATAATAATAATAATAATAATAATAATAATAATATCAACATGCAAGTTACTTAGGAAATAATCAAGAAATAAAATAAGATAATAGAAATATAATTGTTAAGTTAAAAATGTGGGAGAATCTCTGATAAACGTGGACATGGAAACCTGTTGATGGCAGGTGAGTCATCCATCCTTTTGTAAACTGTATAATTTCAAGTACCCTGGTCCATGATTTTCTCCGCCAGACTCATTAGTGAACTCAAACCCTATATATACGCACCATGTTCATCGCTTTCCATGTACAAAAACCAGATCGAGGAAATAGCAGTAGTAGAGTAGCCACTATAAAAGGAGAGAGAGAGAGGGGGGTGGGTATGTAGATTGTAGTTTACTAGATTCACTAGATTGTAGTGTCACTCACTCACCAAAGTCTAATAGAGAATAGTGCACAACAGTGGAGTGAAGTGACTGGCACATAGAGAGACTTAAAAGAAGTAATGGGAACCCCACTTTTCCATCCTCACTCTCCTGTTTTTTTACCCTTTATTCACTGTACTTACACAGTACAACATTTTATGTCGGTTTGTGTGAGTATGTGTATGATAAGGGTCTTTCATTTGTTTCATTGAGAAAGAAAAAAAAAATTGAGAGAAGGAGTAACATGGGAAATGAAAATCTCCCTTCTTACTAGTTCTGGTTTTCTATCTCTGGTTTGTGTTGTGTGAGGAGCTAAAGCCTCTCACCGAGAGAATTTTTCCCCTTCCTGGGAAAAAGAAGAGATGATATTTGTTTACCCTTTGTTTCATTTTTTCTTTTTGGAAATAGTGCTTTTACTGCTTTGCCAGATTTGTGTGGATGTGAGATATTCAATCGTTTTCCCTTCTCTGACTCTCATGAAGACATTGACTGCTCTCCTATTCTCTCTCTTTCTCCTCCCTGATTTCTGCTACTTCTGACCTTTCAATTTGATTTTTATTTTTTCAATTGTTTTGCTGATTATTTTTCCTGTTCAGTTGAACTTATATGGAACTCATTCTGAGTTTGACGAAGTCATATTTTCTATCAATCCTTTCTCTGTGGTTTGGTTCATTTCTCTTTTGGCAGTGGTGGTTCTGATACTGTTCTTTGATGAAGCTTTTTGATTTATAGTTCGCTTTATGGTTCGGAAGAACAGGAGAAGTAGTAAGTTAAAGACCCAGTTGGCTGGGTTGCGATTCATGTTGCTGCATTATGTTACATAACAAAGTTGACCCTTTGATTCTTGTGCTTATGAATATTGCATTTCATGCTTCCGTGTGTTTCGACCATATAAATTGTTACATTAGATTTGTTTTTTCTTTTGTTGGGTCCGATCGTGTTATTGGTGTTTCTATAATTCATCCGTTTTGCATGATAGCCGAAGGGTTAGACAGAAGGATACACTGTTCTAGTTTAATGAAGGAAACATATTTTTCTCCATCGTACATGTATTTTGCCCTGGTGGTACTCTTTTATCCCTTTAGGTCCTAGGGTTAGGGTTCTTGTGAAAAAAAAAACAGGTTTTTTCATTCAGTCAAAATTTCACTGAAGTTGTTTTATAATGTCAATTAACTTTCTCAAATTTTTGTGACATTCTTTGGCAGTCTGCATGCTAGTTAAAGATGGTTAAAATTTGTAATCCTTCTTTCTGGAAAGTAACAGGTTTAGTCATACCTCTGAGTACTATCAAAGGTTTGTAATAGTGTGTGTCACTAATTAAATCTGCATAATGTTTATAGTGTTTGTGAATATGAATTCAATCTTTGATTTATTGTCAATGATTTTCTTTTATGCCTAATAACAAAGGAGTTCTAAGTTTGTCTTCATAGTGTCATCATTGTTAGCCGAATTCCTGTTGTTTATCTTCTTGGATATGGAATCAAGCCATATATGTTTAGATATTAGTTTGGTTTGCAAAAATTTTGCTTGGTCTTTGATTAAATTATTTGTTCTAATATGTATTTCTGCAACCACTCAACTAGTATTGTCTCATCTGGTGTCATTTGGTTTTATTTTAGATCTGATGGAATATTATTGTTATAACACTTTTGGCACAGAATTTTGTTCATGTAATGTACCAATATTATTGGATTAATAGCAATTAAGATGAATTGTGAAAAGCAGTTTAAGAGAGCTTCCTTCAGTCCACTCATGGATGGGAAGAGGGTTTGAATTATCTGCTGACTCATTCATTCAAACACAATAGAACTGGGGTCATGGGTCCTATTGTGAATGTGTGAATGATGCAGGAGGTAAAATTCATTCTTTTCTTGTCTTTGCTTGGACTGAAGGGAGCTCCCTTTTCCTGTTTATATCATTATATTATAGTCTCATTTTTATTATGCTTACTCTTTCTTCTTCTTCTTCTTCTTCTTCTTCTTCTTCTTCTTCTTCTTCTTCTTCTTCTTCTTCTTGTTATCTCCATATAACATTTTAATGGTAGATTCAGGGTTTTCTTCACTTATCCCACATACCATTCGGCATGGAAGAGGGGTTCAATTTCATTTTTACTAATAAATTTAGAATCATTTCTCTGGCAATAATCTTGTTATATGGTTGGAAATAATTGTTGAAGAGCTTATTTTTTATTATATTTGTTCTCCTTGATTTTGTTTATTGGAAGGACTCAATCATTTAGGAAGTTTTTTTTATTTTATTTTATTGTATTCAACAGGTTGGTATAGATTGGGAAACCAAACCTAAAGAAAAAAAACTTCAAACACGCAACATAAATTTTTGATCATTTTTTTTAATAAATCTGTTCAGTTAATTCTCCTTTTAAATATTAACTTTTTTAATGTTAGAATTTGTCATGGGTTTTGCATTTGATTTTGGAAAATTATGTGAGATGAGTTTTCCTGAATGTGGTAATTAAGAAACAAATGGTGAGGTTTTTATTTAGAGGAGACACTTCCTAATATAATTTATTGTTACACATTCCATTTTTGGCCAAAGTTTATAGGAAATTTATTGTTAGGGAAAAATGTAGATGAAGCAATATGGTGAATGCGTTTCAATAAATAATTTACTATCGTTCGAAACTTATATTTGTTTTTGGTGGCAAATCGGGGTGTGTTAAAATTCCAAATCATGCGTATAAGTTGGTACTAGAAAATTTGATTTGTCAATTGTGATTTAAGTGTGAAAAAAAAAAGGTAATGTTATTACCATGTTTTCCACTGCAACTGTATGGTATTCCCTACTTACCTATGTCATCACATGATTTGTCACACACAAGATTCCTTATAATGTGTAGTATTTTTAGTAGTTCAGATTTTGTACATTTGCACTATGTTGTCATTTTCGCAAAATGCCAATGTGGACCCAGTTTTATACCTGCATGGGCAACTCATTTTAGTATATAAAATTTATTTCCCACGAAGTATATTTTACTTCTTAAGGAACAAATGTATTTATGCAACAAATTCTTTTGATTAATCTTTTAACTATTTTGAAGTTAATAATTCAATCTATATTCTATTCTTAGTAGTAAGCGATGATGTAATAGAAATATCTCATCATCCTTATATATTACGGTAACTATTTTTACATTTTTGAACAATATTAATGGTGATTAAATTTATTTAATGTAATTGATTTTGTGAAGTATAAGAATATTGTACATAGTTGATAGAACTGTGCAATGTACATTCAGCTTTATTTGTCTTAATTCTAAACAGATTTATATATTGATATTAAAATAGAGTTTACATTTTATATTACCTCTTTTTATTATACACAGATGTTTATATATTATTATTAAAATGTAACTTAGTTTATATATATATATATATATATATATATATATATATATATATATATATATATATATATATATATCATCATAATATATAAAGATTAAACTTAATTCTAACGGTAATATACATAAATTTGCTAAATTGAATAATATTGTTTATTTTAATGGTAATATGATTTAAAATGATAAATAATTAACAAATTGAATGTATTTTTAAATGTCTGTTTTTTTATTTAAATTATAAAATTAAATTAAAATTTTTATTTATTTTAGATAATTTAATTGATATTTTATTATAATTATATTAAATAAGATTAATTTAATGATGTATATTATAGAAATAAAATTAATATTCAATTTAAATATAAAAAATAAATAAATATATTAAAGGTAAAATAAATTTACGTTTTATTTCAATTATTTATACGCATAAAGGGTTTGAGAGGCTTGAGGTGATTGATTGATGTTGATGTTTGGTGAGTAGCTGAGTCTATAATTAATCTGTCACAGATTCCTCAGAAATATGCTACCTATGTTACTATAGCGTTGTGTGTGTCTCTTATTATATATCTCTTTATTCCAAAACACCAACAAAACAATATTTGGTCTGATTTAAAACACAAAGGGATGAGTTTTAGTTGGAGGTGAAAGACCATGCATAGAATAGGGCCAACCTAGCCTGTGATTGGAATACATGTTATGTTACTGTGATGTGTCAATTTCAGGTACATGTTGTTGCCAGAAGAATCATCATGAGATTGAGATGCAACTTGGACTCATTGGTTAACTAGAACAAATAACGGGGAGAAAACATACCAAGAGAAAAGAAAAGAAATTTCTTTGACCTATAAAAGTTGTTGTACATATGAAATGGTTACAGAAGAACCTTCTAGTTTCCTAGTCTCTGAAATTAAATATTAGACTTGCAAATATAGGTTCAGAAACGCTGCACTTCTTCTCCATCACTTTCTACAGTGACATACGCCAGAGGTTGGAACTTGGAGCTATAATTTCCACTGCTACTGTCATGACATTTGTATTTGTGAGAGTTTTATAACATTTTTTTGTAAGATATTTCTTGTGTTAAAATATCTTTTATTTTACTCTTATCTAGCTTTTAGTTCTTTACATATTGAATTGTGTTAACTTAATTATGTATCGAAACTGTTAATGGGGAAGTGATAATTTCTTTTATCATTCATAATTTTACTGCAAATTTAGTATTATCATCTAAAGAACTTATAACCCTAGAGTTTGTACAGTGAAGATTTGAATTGTTTTGGGACTGTGGTGGGATATCTATTTGAAACAATGCACATGTTGTGTTAGGGTGCTATTTTTGGCATTTTAAGATATGATATTTTTGGGGTTTAAAAGGTTTTGACAAAAGTACTTTTCTTGAGGCAATATAATTCCAACTCTTGAGGCAATAGTTCCAACCTCAGATAATATTATTTAAGTACATTTGCATGTGTTTAACTGAACTAACTTAAAAAATAAGTCAGATTCTTGAGGAGTTTGAGATGAAAGTACACTTGAACTGGATTTTTTATATTTTTCTTATTATTTAATTATTTAATGCTGGATGTTTCCAGAAATGACCTTAGTGTTGATTATAAAAAATCTGAAGAGGATTTTGCCCTAACTCTTCTATAGTCTATTTCTTAATATATTAATTTTGTGTGTTTAATGTTGATGTCATTGTAGTGCAGGACCACTACTTATGGTCTGTTTGGTTAGCGTTGTTTTGGGTTTCTCTAAATTGAAGGTGTGAAATGTGGAATCTAACACATCATGATAATAAACTAGTTTTGTTTATTCATCATCCAAACATCTACATGATGGTAATGTACATAAATATTATAAGTATTAATTAAAGAATAGTGATTTATGTTTATTAAAATGGTTGATTTTATATTTGTTTCAATAGTTAACTTTGAAAAATTGTTTGTTCCATATTAGGTATAAATGAACTGTTGTCACATTATTATAAAAAATACTAATTGATTTTTTTTACACTAAGGTAAAATTCTATGCAGGTTTTTAGTCCTAGTTATTTGAGTTATTTATTTTTGTTTTAATCCTCCATTTGATGTTAGTTTTTCTAGTAATGTATATTTTAATCATCATATTAATTAATATAATGAATAAATATTTTGTTTGTTATTGAGTCTTGTAAGTTGTGACCTATCTTCCTCCTCAGTTGTGGTGTAATGTGAATTTGAATGTTAAGTGAGGTTGAATGATGTTGACATGAGTGCATGCATGCATGCATATACAATAATGTTGATGGTGAAAGCATTTTACCTTGTGCAGCCGGAAATGGTCTGTGAAGAGGCAGGCAAGGGAAGAAGCAGGAGTTATGGGAGAGGGAAGAAGCATAAGTGAAGAAAAAGAATCCCATTAAAGACGGATACTACATGTGCTTCCCATTGTATTCAATAGTTGGATTTGGAAAATGACTCCACATAATACTCTTCTTTATCTCTCTGTAGGGGCTTGCCTTTCTATATATCCTCATGTCTTTCCTCACCTTCATCATTCTCTTTCAATATCTAAACACTTATCTTCATCCTCAACTTAAATAATGGATCACAGTTATAAGATTTAAATATAAATCTAATGTTATTATATCATTTGATAGTAATGAGATTATGTAGATTGAATTTTTATCATATGATTGCATCTTTTGGTAAACAAAAATGGGCTTATTATTTCTTTTCATGTAAGGAAAATTAGAGTGGGAGGATGATTATACCTCTGGGTCTAGTTAATTAAATGCAACGTAAGTCACATTATTTTTAATATTTATTAAACTAAAATTATAATACCAAACATTTTCTACCAAACTTTATATATAACTGCTTTTTTTTTCTTTTTTTTACCAGAAAGAATACAGTTAAGTTACATGCTTTTTAATATTTACATAAACTAAAACTACTATAAAAAATATATATTTTTGGCCAACTTTATATATAATTATTTTTTAGTGCAAAAAACAAACACGAAATATGAAAGAAAAAAATGAAAAATATAAAGAACAAGACGCAAGATGAAGAAAAAGAAAGTTTTTAAATATTAAATATTAATTTTAATTATATTTTAGTGTGATTCTTGGATAATGACAGTTACATGGAAAATTTGGTGTAGCTATATATAAAGATAATTTCTTTATAATTGTTTTTTTAAAATAAAGTATTATAGTTTTAAAAAATAATTATTATAATTTATATATATTTAAAAATAGTTAAAATATGAAAAGATAGAAATCAAATATATTTAAAGAATAAAAAGATAAAATAAAACAATTTAAAATAATATTAAAAAAATACTTTTAATAAAATAAAATAAAATATGAACACGTTAAAACGTATGCGTATATTAAAAAAATCATCTTTTTTTTGTTCTATATTAAATAAATAATATATCTTTTTCCTTATTTATAATAAATTAATTTTAATTGTTTTTAATTAATCAATCATCTTTTCACACACATTATATTTTAAGAAAATAATAATTATATTTTCTCTATCTCAAAATAAAAATTATTTATAATTTTTTTGCACACATTAAAAATATAATAAAAAAATGATGAAATAGTTTTACTAAAATAATTTCACTCTCAGTAAATATATTATTGTTATTTGCTACAAACACAAACTTGACTGTAACTTATTTGAGATGAATGAGAAATATAAGAATTAACATTTCATTAAAAATTAAAAATATTAATTAATTTAATTAAAAAAAACTTAAAATTGTAGTCATTTTAAGACTATCATCTTCGCTGATCTTATTAGAAAATATTTTATCTAATTAATTAATTAATTTATTTTTATTTAAAAATATTAATTAATTAAATATACTTTTATAAAAAAATTGATACATAGGATAATTAATAAGTTAGCTTATAAAAAGGAAACACAATTTTTTTCTGGAAATGTTTTATTGTATATAAATTTGAAGTATAGAATAAGATGCTAAAATATTCAGATTAGAAATCTAAAAAAGAAAAAACGAGAAAAAAAATTCACTTCTTTATAAATAATAAACTAATTTGTGGAAATTGACTTTTTATATATATATATATATATATATATATATATATATATATTTATTTATTGAAGTTAAATGTATTTACTTTAAAAAAAAAAACTAGAAAGCTTGTCTGTTTAATGTTTGAATAATATATCTAAGCATCATTAGGCAAATCCTAATTGTATGTTGAGCTCATTTAATAATATATTTGGATACACTTTTCAAGATCAGATGATTTAGTTGGAAGAAATGAAAAAAATAAAAAACAAATTCTGGTGTAGAACTTAAATTACTTTAAATTACACTAGAAAATCTTAATTTATCAATTGAGTAATTTTTTTTCATTTTCTTTAAAAATATTACTTTCATATTCCTATATACATAACTCTCACTGATCTTAACAAATATATTTTTTAAATTTATGATTCTAAAGAAAAGGTTTTGAAAGCCCATCTTTAAAAATATTATTTTCATGTTCCTATGTTCAAAAATTTTGTTACTTCAATGTTTCCTCAAGTTGTATATAATCATGTACATATCTCTATTATTTTTATTATAATAATTAAATTAGTAACACATAATTGATAACACTTCTACAGAGTCTCGTTTAATAACCTTTTACTAAGACTAAATCATACGTCTACTTAAAAAAAGTTCACACACAACATTGTTTATTTTTGGCAGTTGGGCTAGCTTATTGAGGCCTAGAGTTCATTTGATTGGGCCAAAAATTTATAGGTCCACTTTCTTCTTTTGTTACGTGACACTTCTGCGAGTATCACCAATATTATGTATGGGATTTACTAGTAACTGAAATCAAACTCATAGGATGTCTAAAAACCTTAACTGTCTTTGAATAATGTTGGATTTTATTGGTAAAATTTTTATTTTATTTTTAGGAAAAAAGATAATGAATATACCACATGGTATCATCTCTGTGAGTGATCACTTTATCTCATTTCTCCACCATACAATTCACAACACTTAATTTGTCACGAACTTCTGCTACTAGTGCAACAGAACCTTTTCTTCCATCTTCCATAAAAAATCACCATGAACCTCATTCTCCAATAACCTATCACATTTAGTAACCAAAAGAGTGCTTACTAAAAACGAAAAAATGTCATGCTGTGGTAGCTTGGGTTATGGAGGGCCAACCTGCTTGAGTAGTGTTCAGCGCACAAAGAAGCAGCAGCAATCACTGAGAAACAGTTTCATGGCCATCAAAAGTTTTGGAGTGATGAAGGGTTGGAGAGGTAGAGATGGTAACAGCAACACATCCTCCAAAAGGGTAGGAGTTGTGCAGTGTAGAGGGATAGGAGACTTCATAGGAGGGGACTTGTTACGGTTTGATATTGACCGTTGGCTTTCAGATGTTGAAGAGCACAAAGCACTCGCAATATACCCTCCTCATGAGGGAGGCTATGAGGGGCGTTACTTGTCACGTCTCAGACGTCAAGGCTACTATTTCCTTGACCTCTCAGCTCGTGGCCTTGGTGACCCTGAAACCACCCTCACCAAGATTCACCCTGTTTGCCCTGTGAGTTTTTTCAGAAGTCTATTGTTTGTTGATGCTTTAACTTCTTGTTGTTCTTGATGGATGATGGTATGTTAGTCTTTAATTGCACTAAGATTTTGTGATGAATCTCAGGCTCATCTTGGAAAACAGCCAATAGCAAGGTGGTATTATCCTCCAGAAGTTGATTACAGATTAGAAGCATTGCCACCAAATGCTAAAGGCCTGGTGGTGTGGATAATTGAAGCCAAGGTGTGTGGATTATATCACTACTTCTTGACTTGTTTTGCATTAAGGATCTACTTAAAATACAATTACAATGCTTAACACTGATATCATATATACTTAAACAGAGGGGATGCTATATCATAATTAATTAATTAATGTAATGGTGTAAATATTGTTTTTGGCTTCCACAGGTTCTCTCCAAGGCAGAACTGCAGTTCCTAGCTTTGCTGCCAACACTTAGGCCTAATGTGAGGGTCATTGCTGAATGTGGAAACTGGTAGGAAACTGTTGTTGTTGATTGTTTTTAGAAATTGGCAGTGCTTTCTGCTGTAAAACTTGTGCTTGAGGACTTGACTTTGCTGCCTATCTAAGAAGGGTTTGTTGCTTTGTTCCTATTTGACATCATTCTCATCTTAATGATCAGGAGAAAGTTTATGTGGAAGCCACTGAAAGAAATTGCTGGACTAACTACTAGTGAAGAAGCTTGATGGTGCTTCACTGCTACTTATCATCCATTATTTCACATAGCTGCAGATGTGTAAGATAAGAAAGGAAGACAGAGAGATATAGGAAAAGGAAAAATCAAAGTTCCTTGTATATAATTAGATCTGTCAGTCATGAGTGACACATTAATTCTCAAGGTTTAATTTTTCCCAAGCACATACATTTCCTCAAAATATAATATCTGAAATTACTTTGTCAATTGATCAGAATAAATTATTTTATGTAATACTTAATTCTGACTCATCTAATGTGTTTTAAGTTCTAACCATTACAGTACAATGGTGGTTCTGTTATGTAGTTTTCCTCCAATTTTTTGTTCCTATAAAACCATGCCATGAACAGTTGAATCATTTCTATAATTCGTATTCACATTAGTGTCTGTTATTACAATGTTTCAATTTTTCCATGAGCTTAATTAGATGTAATAATTCATGAGTCATAGGGACTGAATTTCAAAAAGATATAAGTAGAGAAAGCATTTTATCATCCTCCAATAATAATAATAATAATAATAATAATAATAATATTATTATTATTATTATTATTATTAAAAAAGAATGATACAATATCATTAATTCTTAAAATAAAAATAATTATTTATTAACATGATTAATTTTATTTTAGCAATGATTTGATATGAATTATTTATAACAATCATCATTTTATACAATGAAATCACAATGTTTTAATATTTAACCTCTTAATTAATTGTAAATATTCATAAATAACTATTACAAATTAACAACCAGAATAATAATATTAGGTTTTATCATATGTCACATTTTAATTTGAAAAAAAAATTAAAATAATAATTTCAATCTACGTAAAAAAAATAATTATATAATTTAATTTCTTGAAGTTTTTTCTTTCGAAACAATCATGGAGCGTCACACTTCTGCTTTACATGTTTGCGAAAAACTATTTTGTAAAATCTTGTTTAATCTCAACGAAGTATAATGAAAAAAAGAGAGATTAATTTTTAAAAATTGAAGTAATTTAGTTCAGGGCCATATAGTTGTAGGTAGCAAGTTAGAATGTTTTGCCTTTTTTTATTACTAACAAAAAATACATGCATCTCATGCCTCTTGTGTAGCCGTATTTTATATTATATATTATGTTATCTTATTTTAATAAATCAAAACTTAATATTTATATTAATTTTAATTTCTATATTTTAAAATAAAACATATTGGTTAAAAAAATTTGATATGAACTTAATTTTAAGAATTTATATGTTAAGTAATTATTTTAAATAAAGTAAATACCAATTTATTTATAATTTTAAAAGTATAGTTTTATATATTTATATACAACTATATAATAATACATAGTTATAATTTTTTCCTAAAATCTAATTTCAAGTAAAATTATAATATGTTATTATTTTTTAAATAAAATAATTTTAAATATTGAAATAAACCTTTTAACATTTAAAACTTTTATCATTTTATAAAATTAAAAAATAATTTTTTATCCACAATTTATTACTAATTTCAAAATTTGTTTTATTTTTTCTTAATTTTTTTTATCTGTAAAGGCAGTTTTTAATAACTTCAAATTCTGTTTCACATAATTTTAAGAACAGTATTACAAATTTTCTGTTTGTTAATAAATAGTGAGAATGGTGTTTTTTAAATAGTAATAGTATTATTTGTGTTGACGAAGGTAAACTTTTACTCATTAAATTAAAAAAAAATTATTTTTATGATAATCTTTTATAATTTTATTTTCTTATCTTTTCTCTATTTTTTTCTTATTGTCTTATCTTTTGTAGTGTTTTTGGAAGAGTAGATCAATTTTGTTGGATTATAATTTTTAATAAAGTATTTTTTTTTCAATTTTAAAATAATTGTACATGTTGCGAGTTAGGTTGTATAAAAGTGTAGGTTGATTGCACGTATATTTTGCTGGAAAAAGATAAATCTTGAATAATTTTTAAACTGGTATGTTTAATTTATTATTTTGGGGTTTGTGTAATCAAGATTTATCATAAAAAATTAAGAGTTTTGAAATTTCTTTTAATTTGGAAATAGTGTGTTTGAGGTAATGAAAATTAATTATTTTTTAATTTTTTATAATAATATAGGTTAGAAGATTTAAATTATAAAAATGAGGTGATGATTAAGATCAATTTCATTATTTGATTATATATGAGTTGATTGTGTGTTAATTAAAATTGACTTGAAATGAATGTGAATTTATAAATTAATAAGACATTGTTAAAAATTCTTAAATTTCAACGATGAATATTTAATGTGTTTAAAATTTTTGCTTTAGTGAATGGAAACTATTTATATAATTTGTTCAGTCATTCAAGTTTCATTGCATTTAAATCTATTAACCTATTTTCATAAAAAAAAAAATCTCGTATAGATGAATTCCTCTTTAGTTACATAAAATTATTTTCTATATATTAAAAGATTTTAGATATATAATATATATATATTTTTTTATCTAGAAAAAATATATATTTTAAATTACTTAATAACTTTTTTTCCATATGATAATTATATGGTGGAGCTGTTATAATTTTAGAATATTAATTTAACTTTTAAATAAAGTCATTTTAAATTATTATTTTAACTTATATGTTTAAAAAATTATTATACAAAAATAAACCTATTAACTATATTTTAAATTTAAAAACTATAAGTAACAACAAAATTAAAAACATTATTAGATAAAAAATAGTTTAAATTAATAATTTTTCAATTTTCAAAATTCAGTTATTTTTTAAAATAAGAATCATACTCCTCATAATTTTTTTGGTTTTTTAATGGTTTATTTTTCTAAAATTATTAAAAAAATTATAAAAATTTTCAGATTTAAAAAAAATTTATATATAACTTTATTGTAAAACATAAAATTTTTGAAAATAATTTTAAAATATTAGTTTATCGGTGATTTATAAATTAAGAAAAATATGAAAAATGGACCATTTTAAAATTAGAATATTAATTTATTGTTAACAAATAACTTTTAAAAACTAAAATATGGTGTAAAAATACTTTTTTACTGTTAAATAACAAATTTAAATATTGAAAATAAGACAATTTTCAAAATAATTAACGGTTTATAAGATTTAGATAGGAATGTATGGATAATATTATATTTTATGTAATATGTAATTTTTTGCCCTTCTAATTTAGTAGAGAAATGCTTAAAAAACTTATGAGAAACCAAATTTTATTTAGAAATGATAAAAAAATTAAAGAAAATATTATAAAACAAAATATAGTTTTAATTAATAAGGTGAAAGTGTAAAGGCTCCTTCAAAATAAATAAATAAAAGAAATTCTGGCGGTTGATGCGTACTGAGGTGTTGCAAGTTTTGACTGACTTTTATAATAATCTTACGCTTCCGAAGGCCCTATTGTCTTATTTTGTGACGTTGGTTCCTAAAGTCTCTTGTCCTCAACACATGTCTGATTTTCGACCAATTTCTCTTCTTGGATGCCTGTACAAAATATTATCGAAGGTGTTGGCGAATCGATTGCGTGGTGTGCTTCCTTCGATTATTTCGCACCGTTAATCAACTTTTGTTCCAGGTCGTAGCATGCTTGATAATTTTTTGGTTGCAAATGAGGCGATTGATTTTGCGAAACGTTATAAAAAGAGTATCTTTGTGCTTAAAATTGACTATGAGAAGGCATATGACTCGATTGAATGAGACTATTTGTTATATATGTTGCGTGATTTTGGTTTTGATGAGAGGTGGGTTAGATGGATGGAGGAGTGTGTTTGTCGAGGTAGCTTGTCAGCGCTGGTGAATGGTAGTCCTACCTCAGAGGTTAGTATTGGGAGGGGCTTGAAACATGGGGACCCGTTGGCCCCATTCGTATTCTTAATTGTAGCTGAAGGACTGCGGTTGATGATGGATAGGGCGCTAGAGGGGGGGTTGTTTACTGGTTTGCAGGTTGGGGTGATGGGGCCTGTGGTGTCTCTCTTGCAATTTGCAGATGATACTTTGATTATTGGGGAAGCTTTTGCATGTAACCTGTGGACAGTTAAGGCGTTGTTAAGAGGGTTTGAACTTATATCAGACATGTCTATTAATTTCCATAAAAGTTGTGTGGTGGGAGTGAATACTGACGATGACTTTGTGGAGCTTGCATCAAACTTTCTTCATTGTCGTAAGGGCCAACTGCCGGTGAAATATTTGGGGCTTCCCCTTGGAGCGAATCCTAGATTGCGAGCTACGTGGCAGCCGGTGTTAGATAGTATGCGACGTCGACTTTCATCTTGGAAGTACATGTATGTTTCAATTGGTGGTCGTGTCACCCTTATTAACTTGGTGCTAAATTCTATTCCTATCCACTTCCTCTCCTTCTTCAAAGTCCCTGATCGATGTCGTACTCGGTCAAATAATTAAAACAGATAAATGTAGTACTAGGAAGCTTCCCTAGGTCGTCTCCCAAAGACCACGAATTTCTATCAAAGCTTATCAATTTTTAGTAACAAAAAATTAAAAGGGGAGTTTTTCAAAATTAAAATATTAGATGAAACAGAACAAAAGCAGATTATAAAAATGCGGATTAAAAAAAAATTAAAATGCAATTGATTTCCTGATTCTAATGCAGTGTCACTTATCCTAGATTACGAAATTAATTCGAAATTAACCAACTAAGCGAAGATAAATCCCAAATTATATTCTAATTCGAAATTAATTAACTAAGCGAAAATTAATCTCAAATTAGCTTTAACCCTTGTTCCAATATGAAATTAACCAACTAAGCGAAGATTAATCCCAAATTTTCCTTAACCCTTATTCCAACATGAAATTAACCAACTAAGCGAAGATTAACCCCAAATTATCCTTATACAATTAAGCATTGCATACATCACATAATCTCATCTCTAACACAGAATTAAGCAAACTGTGATATTAGTTTCGATTTATTAAGCATAAACAGATTATAATTCAATACTAAGATTAGAAGATGAAGAGTTAAGAGAACAAACAAAATGAAATTGAAGAACAAAA